TTCATGTTTTAGTTTGTTGAGGAGCTCCTTCCTGGATGTTGATAGACGGAAAAGAATGACAGTTTTCCTCAAAAGAGGTACAGATAGCATCAGGGCCAGGTCATTCTTTACTACATGGAACTGTCCCACCCATTACAGGTCATTTAATATCTCTGGGCCACAAAATAGCAATATCAATCCTGAAGACAAACAAAATCTGCATCTGGTCCTCTGCCCCCAAGGAAGCAGCATCACACTCAGTCATGAGCTACAATATGTGGATGCCTCCCACTTGTGTTTTATAATGCTCCTGTATCTACACATAAAATGGTCCACTGTACTGAAGAATTAGGTTATTTAGAGAGTCTTATGAACACCAAGGTTAAATCACATCAGTGGAACAACAGTAAGAAAATTCCTTAAATGACTGAGTCAGGAGCTTTGTGAATGGCATGCCCCACAGGACCACCATGGCCATCCTGCCAACCCAGTCTCCTGTGATTTATGACTTGCAGGAATATAGTGCTTGCCCCCTACATACTTACCATAAGATACATGGCTCCAGAAGGGCGGACTGGCTTGAGTCCAGGAATGGCAGCCAGCGCCCCATAGCAGAGGTCTGCATTCGACTGCAAGAAGAGCAGAGATGAAAACCAAGGGTCAAATTTTAAATAAAATAAAAACCACATTATTGATGTTAAAGCCTTCACCGAAGTTCATGAACCTAGGTTTGATCTTCTAGTATAAGGAGTCAGCAAGAAAGAAAGAACTCCATCACTTAAAGTTCTTACCAAGATAGAGTAAATTGCAAGAAGCAAGAGGAAGGTACGTGTGGAGATACTGATGCCACCTCCTACTATCCAGAAAGGAGCGCTCCAGAAATGAGCACCAATTACTGTGATTCCACGGGTGGTGTTCTCTGATCCCCTAACTCCTCAAGTGTAAGGCCAAAGGCTGCTCTTACCTTGAGGAAACCTAAAGCATCATGGTAGAACTCTTGAGGGGTGCGACGGAGGATACTTTTTAGAGCTCCTTGGACGATGGTGCATGGTCCCAAAATCCGCTGGCTCAGCTTTACTAGCCCATCTCGAATCTAGAACCCCCAGGAAACATTATTTAGCCTTTCGTAAGCATCCTTGTGTTGGTGGTTTCTAGTCTGATCTGTCCATCAGGTTTTTAATCTCAGGAAGTGATGACGACCCTCTTAGATTAGACCTCCTGGTCCCCCTGCCTAACTCTGCCCCAAACCTGTGTGATGTCGGCAATGTAACTTCTCTGCCTTTGTTTTCCTTGACTATAAAATGGTCTCATAGGGTGTTGTGAGAATTAAACAAAATTAAGGTATGTGAAACATTATCAGACAACAAGCCTTCAAAAAGTACGGTTATTTCTATACTTGCCTCCCTTTTTACAACCCCAAAATTGGAGGTGAATGGAGTGCCTTTTCAGACCCAGATATGTGAAAACCGAGTCTGGAGGAGGAATAGTTGTTAGTATCTTTATCCATTATGTTCCCTGGCACTGTGACCCTCAAGGCCAATAAAAGGTGGGGATCCTACTTCTTCACCACTGTGCATTCAAACTAAATATGTACACACTAAATTACACATGCCATTTCCCCACACTGCTCTCACCTCATTGCCAAAGATGTCTTTTCGATCATGGATGAGGATCCAGCCCAACCTCCAGCCAGGAACCAACCAGCGCTTGGCCAGCCCACCACAGGACAGGATGGGAACATTGGTGCTGAGGGTTGCTAGTGGTTCATATTTGCAGTCCGAAAACACCTGAGGAGAAGAGGTTTCCATACATGCTTTCCTCTGGATCAGAGGCCTCTCGCCCATTTCTTTACATGTTAAGGACCAGGGTTCAGGATTAAGGGCTTCTTCCTACCCTAAGAGTGACTGTGATCCCAAATCGTTCAGAGGGCCTATCCAAAGACATTTATTTTGGTGTGTGGTTTGGATTAAAGGAAGCTTAAATGAGGAAAGTGGCTGTAGCTCAGGAGTAAGTACAACCCCCTGCAACTAGCTCTATGAAATTAGTCACTAGTGGAGTTATAGATTTAAAAATAAAAGATGGACCCATAATCCAGTACCTAAAATTCCTGGGCCCAGCTATGTTTCAGAATGCAGAATTTCAGGGTGACTTTTAAAAGGCTACATAGCATATGTACTGTATGTTAGGTAATAGTTCCAAAGCAGTCTAGACTAATACCTCCATTAATCAATAATATCAACATTTCGTCCACTTTCCTTTATTTGTGGTTTGTGGTGTCAGGGATTGAACCCAGAGCCTTGGGCATGCTAGGCATGTACTCTACCACTGAGCTACATCCCCAGATCTCCTAACTCTTAAAAAAAATACACATCTATAAGAGTCATAAAAAAATCTACAAATACATTTATATCAAATCAAATCTGAATTTACAAAAAGTAAATTCCAAGAATCTTTGGGTTTTCCTAGCTTTTTGAATTTCAAAAAACTGGTTTAGGAGTCATGTAGTTGATGACAAAGAATTACTTCTGGTGATTCTATTAGGCCAACTCCAGAGGTCCCATAAAACAGTACGGTATCAAGACCGTTGGAATGTTATAACCTGATCCACACTCACCATGTCACCATAGATCTCATCAGCTAAGATGGGGACACAATGTCTTGCAGCCACTGGAAAGAAAGAAAGCACGCTGCAATCATTTTTAGTCCAGGTTGTCTTTGCATTTCCTATTCTGTCGTCTTGCGGTGATTTGTGTTTCATACTCAAAGCAAGGTCTGCGTGCCTGATCTTCTTTAAGAGCTAAATACTGCCAATATTCTTCCAAGGATGCAGGCTGAAATTTGCTATTTAAACCATATTTTAAACCCTGTCTTCCACATGATAAGAGTAGTAAAGACAAGTACGGATTAAGCATTTCTTATCCAAAGTGCCTGGGATCAGAGGTATTTCGGATTTCAGTGTTTTATTTTCTGCTTTGCTTGAGGTTTTTTGAAAAAAGATTTTGGATTATGTATGTAAACTTGCCACTTGAATGTTTCTAATCTGAAAATCCAAATGCACCAAAGTGGACTGTTTCTGATTTTTTGATTAGTAATGCTGTCTGTGTGTCTCCCTTCTCCTTCTAGACAAGTCCTGGCAGTCCAATGGCACATCATTGACTAGAGATGGTAGTGGTACCTCTCTACCTCCATCCCAGGCTTGAGACTTAGGGGAGGACCCCGTCACTCAGGAAGCAGCCGAAGGATTCTGCTCCCACTTCCTTCCCTCCCTCCTTGTGTAGTGACTCTTTGGGACTTACCTGCCAAAATCTTCTGAAGGTGACTCTTCTTAAACACTGAGCCACAGGGATTTGATGGATTATTGATGATCAGACAAGCTGTTTTTTCATCAATCAGAGACTCCAGTTGTTTCAAATCAATTTCCCAAGACTTCTCAGGCTGAGGAGAAAGAAAGGATAAGACTAAGATGATTCTGCAAAGTTTAGGGGGAATACTCAAGTCTAGGCTTTGCTTAAAGAATAAAATCTGCAGGCTGGCATGGCACATGCCTTTGATTCCAGCACTCAGGAGGCAGAGGCAAGTGGATACCTGTGAGTCTGAAGCCAGCCTGGTCTAGGCCAGCCAGGACTGCATAATGTGGCCCTGTCTCAACAAAGAAGAAAGAGGAGGAGGAGGAGTGGGGGGGAGGAAGAGGAGGAGGAGGGGGAGGAGGAGGAGGATGACAAGGACGAGGACGAGGAGGGTGAGGATGAGGAGGACAAGGAGGACGAGGAGGAGGACGAGGAGGACGAGGACGAGGAGGAGGACGAGGAGGAGGAGGAGGACGAGGAAGAGGAGGAGGAGGAGGAGGGGGACATGATCTGGGGCCAGTGAGATGGCTCAGTGGATAATGCATGCCACTAAGAATGATGACCTGAGTTCCATCCCCAGGTCCCACATGTTAGAAGGAGAAAACTGAATCCTGAAATTTGTCCTCTGACTTCCACACATGTGCCATGGCATGCACAGTCCCCCCTCCTACACACAAAATTTAATAAATAAATGTAAGTTTTTAAAAAGTAATAAAATCTGTCTTTGGCTTTAACTATCCACCTGCAGACCTTTCTCGGCAGGGTAATGGTCATGCTTTTTACAGGGTAGTAACTGAGCACTTGAGTCAAAAATCAAGTCAATTACCAATAGATTGTAGAGCTTGACCTCAATTCCCATAGATTCAGCCAAAGTCCTATAGAGGGAAAAACCGGGTCTTGGGATCAGGATGTTTTGTCCAGGATTAGCCAGCACAGCTAAACAAAGCTCAATGGCCTGACTGCAGCCACTTGTCAGAATGACATCCTGTAAAGAGAGGAAAAGGGCACTCAGGAGAAAAGAGCTTGTCAGGCACGTGCGCTAGACGCAATAATGAGCTTATTTATAAGTTCTAAGTAATAGGAAGGATTGCTACGCCAGAACCAAACCTGTCATCTATTCTCTACCTTTCTATCTGTCTGCCGTCTATCTATCTACCTACCTATCTATGTATCTATCAGCTATTTATCTATCTATCTGTCTGTCTATCTAACTGTATCTAAATGCTGTTGAAAATATTGACCACTTAAAAGAAATAAACAAATCACTTTGGAAGGTTGAGTTGGCCATGACTCAACCAACTCTCATGAGGGACCTTGGATTGACCTTGGACTGTTTTCTACTGGGTTATTTATTTACTTTTAACCAGAAATTTGGAGCCTGGCTTTTCTCTGAAATGCAGATGAAAGACATCACCTGAGTTAGGACGGAGACTCTGAAGGGAAGGGAACATCTAAACTTGGCACTACCACCACTCCGTATGCCATGAAGTCAGTCTCTGTCCTACAGTGAGTGAGGGAAACTACACAGATACACACATCCTACTAATACATTTTTAACTAAATTAAATTGTGGTTTGTGAAGTGGGTTTTCAATGATCTTTGGCAGAAAGTCAAATCTAGGGTGACCTGGAGGTCCTTTGAGAATCCTGCAACAGACATTATGGTAGCTATGGGAGACACCCTTATACTGTAATGACAGTGAACACATCATTGATGAGTGACCCCCAACTATTTAAGAAGTACTCAGGGAGCTGGAGAGATGGCTCAGAATTTAAGAGCACTGGCTGCTTTTGCAGAGGACCCAGGTTTGATTCCCAGCATCCACATGGCAGCTAATAACCATCCATAACTCCAGTTCCAGGGAATCCAAACCTTCATCTGACTTCCATGAGCATTGCACAACACAGGTGAACTTATATATTTGCAGGTAATACACTCATGTACATAAAATAATTTTTTTAATTTAAAAAGAAGTGCTAGAATGATTTAATCAGATGATTAAACCATTACTCATTTCCCAAAAGCATTACTCCTTGTGGAACAGAAGCAAGAAGCAGGTTACCCTTTGCCCTAAACTGCTCCTGAGCTGGTTCCTTGTAGAAGGCTCACCTTAGCTTCCAGTGGTGCCTCTGGACAGTGGTAGTAGGAAGCGACCTCCTCCCGACTGGATAGGTAGCCTAAAGGAAGACAATTTACAGTAGTCGTTTCTCTCCTTCTACCATGTGGATCCCAGGGATCAAATTTAGATCATCAGACTTGATGGCAGGCATATTCACCTGCTGAGCTAGCCCACCATTACAAAATTATGGCCTAATTTTGGGTCTTGAATTTGATTTTTGTTGTATGAAACTTTCTGAGATATAAGTAATCATCTAAAAACCCTGTCTCTCATACCTCTTTGAAACGTTTGTCAACCTGATATTAGCATGAAACTGGGTTTTTGTTTGTTGGATATTGTCCTTGTTTTGAGATAGGGTCCCTGGCTGACCTAGGACTTGCGATGTAGACTAGGAATCCACCTGCCTCCTAGGACTTGCGATGTAGACTAGGAATCCACCTGCCTCTGTTTCTCAAGTGCTAAGATTAAAGATGTGCACCACCACACCTGAAAAACTAGGTTTCTCATTCTGCATTAAGAATGTTACCACATGCCAGGCATGGTGGCGCAAGCCTTTAATCCCAGCACTTGGGAGGCAGAGGCAGGTGGATCTCTGTGAGTTCAAGGCCAGCCTGGTCTACATAGTGAGTTCCAGAACAGCTGGGGCTACAGCAAGACCCTGTCTCAAAAAGACCAAAAAAAAAAAAAAAAAAAGAATGTTACCACATAGGGTGACTGGAGAGATGGCTCAGCGGTTAAGATCACTGGCTGCTCTTGCCAAGGACCCAGCTTTGATTCTCAGTGCCCACATGGTGGCCAACAACTATCTATAACTCCAGTTCTAAGGGATTGGATGCCCTCTTCTGACCTCCACAGGCCCTGCATGACACAGATGCACTTACATGCATGCAAGTAATACACTCATACACATAAAAATATAAAAATAAATAAATAAAATATAAAAAAGAATATTCCATATATGCAATACATAGGGCAGACATGCAACATGAAAATAAAGTCAATGGATTACTTATTTTACCAAAATCTTTAGGGGAGATATTCTTGACATATGGAGTTTCCCCTATAGGAATAATGTCTTATTATCAGAAACAGCCTCTGTTCCTCAAGGTAACAGTCCATTCTTTGCTGATGATCTCTTTCTTCAATCGTTATAAATGCATTTCAATGGAATCAAGGCCAGAATGAAAACAGGTCTTCAATCCAGAAGGAAATAAAGTAAAGGAGCTATTCATAGGGGCAGCAAGTAAATAGGTAAATAAACGTGAGGCCAGGAGGACTGAGTGAGCAAACAGTTCAGCAGGCTCAAAGCCTAGTATAATTAGTAATGATGGGGCAAAAGCACTGTCGGAGGAATAACTGTGTTTGGGAACCACTAGGAGGTGCCAGGATGCAAATGCAATCAGAAAAGAAATTAGACGCCACTAGCTGTCCTTAAGCATTCAGACTGAAGCCCCTTCCCCAAACGCAAAAGGCTGTTTAATCTTAGCCTCTTCTTCAAAATTTTGCATCAGGAAAGCAAGGAAAATTACTATAGATTTAGATCTATTAAAAAGCATTGGCTGGAAAGATGACTCAGCAGTTAAGAGCACTGGCTGCTCTTGTACAGGACCTGGGTTTGATTCCCAGCACTGATATGGTGGCTAACAACTGTCAGTAACTCCAGTTCCATGGGACAGCACAGGTGCACTTACTTATATGCAGGCAATACACTCATACACATAAAATAAAAACAATAAAAATATTTTAAAGCATTAAAGACGGTCAGTGAGATGGCTCAGCATGTAAAGGAGCTTGCCACCAAGCCCAACAGGTGAGTTCAATCCTGGGGAACCAAAAGAAAGAGAGAACCAACTTCCAGAACTATCCTCTAACTTTGGCATGCATGCCTGCCCATAGACACACACACACGCACACACACACACACACACACACACACACACACACACACACACAAAATAATGTAATTTTTTATTATTATTTTTTTGGCCTTTTTGAGACAGGGTGTCCCTGTAGCCTCAGCTGGCCTGGAACTTGCTATGTAGACCAGGCTGACCTTGAACTCAGAGAGATCCACTTGCCTCTGCTTCCCAAGTGCCAGGACTAAAGGCATGCACCATCACGCTTGGCAATAAATGTAATTTTTAAAGAGCATTAAAAGGCAGATGCCATAGTGCATGCCTATAATCCCAAGTCTCAGAAATACGAGGCAGGAGGATCACAAGTTTCTGACCAGAATAGACTATTGTAGTTTGAGGATGTCAACAACCCCAAACAACAAAACAAGCAAAAGCCGGTAAAATTTGAAGACAGTAGGGGTCATCTCTGGGGAAGCTTACCGATGGATGGAGCATAACCATTGTATTTCCCCGAGTCCAGAGCATCCTTCATTGCTTGGGTAACTTCGGGGTCGGTAGGCAGGTTTCCAAACACAGTAGGGTCTCCTGTTCATGGAAGAGGAAAAGCAAAAGAGCCGAGAGGTTACATTCCAGGTCCAAGTCTCATCTCCTCCCATCTTCCCCAGGCAGCCTGAGAGGATGGGAGGTCGGTGGACAATGCTGCCTTTCTGTCGAGTTGTCCCCAACTCACCAATTGACAGAGAAATCATGGTCTTGACTGGATTGGGCTTCACCTTCATGCTGTCCACAATGGCCCGGATGGGGTTAAAGGTTTTATTGGACATGTCAGAAGGTTTCACAGACCACCTGGCTTTCCTGCCTTTCATTTTTCCTGGCACCGAGCTTCTCCCACTCATGCTGACATGCACATCCAAAACTGCAGGCGGGCTGTTGCTGTCATTCATCTGAATCACGTAGGAGTCCATTGCTGGTAAAGTCTACAAGGAAAGGAAGTGGATCCCCTGTGATGTCTACAACAGTGTACCATTGGGTGGGGGGCTACGTTTGGACCTGAACAGGCATAACTTCACAGGTTGTGTCTCTTAAATTCTTCCCTCTACTTTTACTTGTCAAGTAGCTTTGTTATGAATAAGGGGAGTTTTAAGAACTTTCTGCTGAGATGGAAAATATAGTGAAAATCTGTTTTACAATATTAGCAGAAAGCATTTGATTGAATATCAACTGTAAGTGGGATTTTCTTTTTCTTATCTTTTGTGTATGTGTTCATGTGTATGGGGTATGTGCCTGTTCCTGTGAGTGAGGGCATGCATGAACCACTGCACATGTGTGGAGATCAGAGGACAAATTTGGATTATCAGTCCTCACCTTTCACCTAGTTTGAGACAGAGTCTCTGCCTTCCATCTCTCTGTAGGTACACTGGGATTGCAGATATGTACTGTAACATTCAACTTTTCATGGGTTCTGGGATCTGAACTGAGATCCTAACACTTGATTAACAAGGGCTTTACCCACTGAGCCATCTCCACAATCCTCTAAGTGGGATTTTCTATATGTAACTGTAATCCTCAAATTCTAAATAAAACCAAGAGGAAAAAATGACAAGAAGTTGTTCGTCAGTGCAGATGTGTTACTGTCCACACAGAGACCCCAGAAAGGTGGTCCCTAATACTTTGACCTGAGCAACTTAGCAAGACCCTATATCAAAAACTTCGTGAAACTAGGGATATAGCTCAGTGCTACAGCACTTGCCCAGCATGTATGAGACCCTAGGTTCAATCCCTAGTGCCATTAAATAAAAAGAAAAAAGAAGGAGCTAGAGAGAGCTCAGCAGCTGAGAGCACCGGCCGCTCTTACAGAGGACCCAGGTTCAGTTCCCAGCATCCACATGGAGTCTGGGAACTGTCCAGAACTCCAGTTTCAGGGAATCTGATGCTCTCTTCTAACCTCCACAGGCATTGCACAACATAGGTGCACTTACATACATGCAGGCACTATACTCATGCACATAAAATAAAATTTAAATTTAAAAAAGAATGCAGCATGAACATTATTGCTAGTAAAAAACAAAGTCATGTGGAATAAGCATCCTGGCCCTGGGCATAAAAAGAAGTCACCACATTAGAAAGAAAACCAAATATGTCCCACTCACCATCAAGGACCAATGGGGTTTGGGGCTTACCTTCCACGTGAAGGAGAAGTGGCCTCCACACAGCCAAATCTAAAAGTTCTCTCTGACAAGTCCTGTGACAGTGAACTCAGATGCAAACCTGACTTCTAAAATAGTCCCACCAATGGGGGTTGGACCTCAGACTTTTATACTATTGGTTGGTGGATGAGAACTAAGGCCTCCCCTGAACCTCCTTCCTCCCCCTCTCTCCACTCCCCAACCCTGTGCCACCCTCCAATTGGGAATTTGTTCTCACTTCAAGCATCTGGAATTCTCTGTGTTAACTCTTCCTGGTCACTTGGTGAGATGTCTGAGAATACAGTTGGAGGGCAGTTAGGATTGCAGAGAGTACTTTTGTCTTTTTTGCTATGGAACAACCTATTGTGTTAACAGTACAGAAATGCACTAGAAAGTGACAGACCTTCCTGACACCTCTTTCTTTGGACACTCTGTTTCACTCCCAGGCATAGCAATAATAAGGATTTGGGTGAATCTACTGTATATAGGGTTTGCCATGTACAACTCTTGATCGTCACAAAAATTCAACCAGGCTCTAAGTAAAAGCAAATAAAAGTTCTATCATGCACCAAAGTAGATAGATAGATAGATAGATAGATAGATAGATAGATAGATAGATAGATAGATAGGATAGATAGATAGATAGATAGATAGATAGATAGATAGATAGATAGATAGATAGATAGATAGATAGATAGATAGATAGATAGGCAGATAGATGGATAGAGGCAAATACAAAGAATTTTATAAAATTTCCAAACACAGAAAGGCTCACGTCAGACAGCTTGTTCGGCAATGTGTTTTATTATTGTTACTATTATTATTTCCTTCACCTTGAACCCATTTATTGATCAGACCACAGAGTTTTAGACTCCAATTAGAACAAATCAGGCAATCAAATTAAGGGCCAATCAACAAACACAGTTGCCAAAATTGCTGCAACTTTATCTTTATTAGGTGTATGAAATTGTTGGCGTATGCAGGGTGTTTGAGAATCCGAGAGAGAAATACGTTTCCAAATACTGGGAGTTTTTTTTCCCATTAAACAATGGGAAATTCCCAAAACAGTTTGCAACTGACCACAAAATTAACAAATGAACCAACAGCAATAGCCATTGGGTATCTCACTTGAACTAAAGCACATATTGTGGTTCCTGGACCACATGTGCTCCCTGCTACCCCAACAGGTGCAGACAACAGATATACCACCTTCCACAGGAGGTGCTGGGCTGGTATAGGTCCATTAGCCTCTCTGTACATGAGACAGTATTTCAACCACTGCACAGCACCAGCTTATAACTTCTTCCTGAGAAATACAAAAGAGTCATGAGTCTGAAAAGGGTGGAGAGTTTTGATACATGAAGCTCCTAACACCCTGGGCACAGTTGTTGCACTCCAAAGCCCACACCACCATAACCCTCAACAAAAGCTACATCGAACCAAAGGCTCCGAGCAACCAACTGATTTGTTCTAAGTTCGCCTGCCTTGCCTCTCTATAACATATGTTCTACTTTCATTAAAAGATGGTTTATTTTTCATGTGGTCTCTGCCTTTTCTCTACCTGGAGAGGCCTCCCAACCTTAGTCACCTCACCCAAGAATCAAAGTATTGGTCTAAGTCTCAGGTAACAAAAGCTCTCTCCTTTACCTCCTGTAGAGTTACTAAGAAATCAGGTCAGATGACTGTTACACAGAAGTAAAGCAGGGATTGTGGAGATAGCTGGATCTGAAAAGTACCTGCTGTGCAAGCATGAGGACCCGAGTTCAGATCCCCAGAACTCACATAAAATCAGGCTGGCGAAGTGTGCCTATATTCCAAGTGTTGGGGAGAAGGAGATCTGGGAGTCGCTGGCCAGCCAGTCTAGCCCAGTTGATGAGCTCCAGGTTCAGTGACAGTCTGAAAAAAATAAGGTAGAAGAGCTGGTGGTAGCTCAGACATAGAGGCCCTAGGTTCGATCCCCTGCACTGGAAAAAAAAAAGTTAGAGAGTGAGGAAGATACCTA